ATACTAAAACTTCAGGCAAACATGACACGGAAGATCCATACTTCACTGTGAGATCTCCTTAACCACGGGTCTAGTTCATATCGCTCCGTCAGAAAATGAAGTTCTGAATGGTAACTTCATTATTTTCCTCCCTAATCATTTGTAAGCCCCACTCTAAAGTCCACATGTCGAAAGGCCAACATCTGTCAGCACAAAAAAAATGCCAGATGCAAATGTACGTTACCTAGAGAACCATCACATGACCATGGCACTTGAGCAAGTGTTAATAACATATGTTTGTTACCAGCCGCCATCGGGTTCAGTACATACAGGCACGCTAACAACGCGACCATCACATGATCATCCTCCGTACGAAAACTTCCTCAAAGCCTTTTGGCGACCTGTCCATTCACGTACACTCTGGCGGAACGAAACGGTGACAGATATGGATGGCATATTTACCTGGGAGTACGTGTGGTACCAAAGTTCTGTTGACAGGAGCACCAAGCCTGTGGAGACACAAATAGGCACACGCCCGTCGTAATTAGACGGTGCCGGACTAACTAGGGGAACTGGTGAAAAGTAAAACTTTCGATTTCAACATGAGCTATCAACCGGAGAAGACAAATTGAAATAAGCTTCGGGGCATTTTAACTTGGGAAGAAAAAGAGGAACGATCGAGAGCTTGTTGGTAAGTGTTTCACTTTGTGTACGGAAGTAGCGTAAAAATCTTTTTATAATGTAGTTCACCGTCACAGCTGGACTTACATTTAAGGGCCTAGGTGGCTAGGACGCTGTTATCTATTCATAGAGAAGACAGCAATAAGTCAGTTTGCAAGGCAACAGTGGTCAAATTTAGAGTCTGAAGTTATGTTGACTACTTATTTCGGTCGATTTAGTGTGGTCCTGAAGTATACAGTACATAGCTATGTACACAACAGGAATTTCACTTGGAAGTTCCGTTCTTGTTCAACAGCGTACGTGTAGACATGTTGTTGTTCTAGTATTCGCATTAGACTGGAAATGTTACTGAAAGTGGATATGCCATCAGAGCACTGTACACAGTAACCAAAAAAGATTGGGTAAAGCTAAAAACATCGGTATCCAGTCGCCGGAGTCTGTCTTGAAGTTTGGTCTATGCTTGACACCAGACACTACACCTTGAACTAATTCTATAATTCCCATTTGTCTAGTTTCCATTCACTTGCGTTACGTGAGACGTTTTTTGTGATGCACGGGCATCATATTTGGCTATTTGCTTTGTCCGTAGCGCTGAAAGTGCAACTAAAATTGCTTCAGAGGGTGCCTCCATTAGTTGGTTTCCATTATTTGGTTTGCACGCCATGTGTTTACCATGAATTCAGGTGCACTGTCCGTAGTACTGTTTGCAAGAAAGGTACCGAACACGTTCCTAATGCTGTATGCGTGGTTTCTAATCCCCATTATACTGATAAAGTCGGCTTAGCTTTCAGAGTATTACGTGTTTTGATAGCGTTCAATGTCCATGGTAGCCGACCAGTCTAATCTAACGACCCGGCGTTAGCCCACACAGCTGTAATTGGTGTTGACCGGTAGGTGCACTTTAACCAAGGACATTTTACAAGACGCTTGTAAAACTTGTAAAACTTCCTTGCTCTAATGTAGGCGGTACGAAGTTTAACCTGGGTCTAAACTCTGACTTGCACGTTGTGGGCTGGGCACTGCGTGAAAAATATGTGGGATTTACCCCAATGAGAATTACCCAGCATTTGCCACAATTTATAAACCACTTTTTTGTGCAGTATGGTAGAATAGTGTACTTTGAAGGGAAAAGAAACTACAAGAAAACTGTCTGTCCCACGTGTAATTGAGTACAACTGGGACACTTTTAGCGCCTCGTAACCTAAATCACAGTACTTGTGCCAAGGTTTTCTCAGTACTGCATGAGTGGAATTGGGACAAATTGGAAGTAAGTGGGTCAAGAATGTGTACAATAGGACCAAGGAGCTTTCCTTGATAGGACAGACCATGTGAAACTGTGTATCGCGCCATTTCAACATCCGCCATTTCGGGTCGTGCGTTACCGTGCATGTAGTTTATACAGTTTCAAACAGTCAGCTCTACTGTACAACTATCGACCAATTGGTGTTGTCCAAATCCCAGCCAGTGTTGAGAACACCTCATTCAAACGAGTTTAAGGGGTGTGTGGGGTGTGTTTACCGTTTCTTACCCTAGTACATATAATGTGTTTTCGTACGACGTGGGTGTCTACGTGACGACGTACAATTAGCCCCGCTGCCAGAGTAAATACCTCTGTTTGGTCACCATGGCAGCGCAAAAACATCTTACGATTCCTGGAAGCACACCTGTGCAACAGAGAAATACCTGGAAATTTGGCAACAGGTGGATCGTAAACACCAAAACATTTTTCAAACTTTTGGGTTTGTAGTTAGTAACTTTTGGTAACTAGTAAGAGATATACATTTGTGATTTGGATGTTCTGTCATGATGTACTTATTACCTTCGCCAAGAAGGTTATGTTTTCAGGGGCGTTCGTGTATGTGTGTGTGTGTGTGTGTGTGTGTGTGTGTGTGTGTGTCAACACGATAACTTGAGAAGGCCTTGATGGATTGTCTTGATACTTGGTAGGTGGGTAGGTCTTGATGAGACCTCAAAATGATTAGATTTTGGACCCCCTAGCGGCTTGTTATGGTACTGCAGCTGAACTTCCGGTTTTGATATCTCATGATCTAGACATGCTATGGTGATGAAATTTAGATGGTGGGTAGCTCTTGTGCTGGGGAAGAAGTGATGTGAGTTTAGGCCCCCTAGCGGCTTGCTCTGGAACTGCAGCGATATATTCTTGAAAATATTCAAAAGGGTATAACACAAGAACCGGTTGACGGATCGTCGTGATTTTTGGTATGTAGGTAGCTTACGTGATGCTTCATATAATTATGTGACAATTATGCAAATATGGACATAATTTGCATAATTTATGGGGAAATTCTATGAATCAGCTGCATTCCATGATAGGACAATTAAAGCTTGTGACATTGGTAATTGACAACGAGAGAAACACAGGAAGATATTGATTATGTTAATAATGACCTAATTTGCATAATTAATGAGAAAATTTTATAACTATGTAATGATAACTGCCTGGAATTTCATACTTGTGGTATTTGAAAGTTAAATTGAGGTGAACATTATTAAACATAATTTATTCAAATCAGGACCTCATTTGCATAATTTATTAGGAAATGCTAGAATGCATTGTTTGTTAATATAAGACTGTTTTTTGGTTGAGTTGATGATAAAATGATATAATTCATGAAAATTAGGTTCCTATTTCTTAAATTGGGGGAATAATCTAATCTATAATTTGTCAGTCATAAAGATTAACATCATTTGGCGAAGGTATGAGATCAGGGAACTCTAGTTTGATATGAATTGTACTTAGACGTTATGTGCATATAAAGAGGCACACATGTAAACATGCTGTTGCTTTTGTATCCTTAAGTGTTTTTAATCTTTTGTGCTTTCTGCACAGTTTCGTATGTACGTCAAGTCGTTGCGTCGGCACTGTTAGCACAGCAAATAAAATATAGATATTTAATGAAATCCATGTCAACGCCGACGACTAATGGTTAAGTATTAAGCCAAAGCACGAGGGATATCTCTGTTTGGACCATTGGTGTACTGCGTTACCCTGGTTCTGGTAAAGAACCTGTGATACAGGCTGTATATTTGTCGTAACAACCTCTAAGATCATAGAAGCAATGCGTACACAACTAACCACACAACGTGTCCACTCATAGGTCAACTAAATATATCTGACAGGTAAGGGTATTACTGGAAGACAATGGGGTGCGGGTCATCGAAAGGCACAGTGACTGTGGTGAACGTAGCAACAGCTACAAGACCTGAACCCACCAAGAAGGACAATACGGTAGTTCAGGAGCCGCCAGCGCAGGTAAGTCATGCATGGTTTAAGTGCATTGGAATGTATTTATTTTGGACTACTGAACATGAAAATTGCATTGTGTTGTATGGTTTCCAGATATTTGACTTTCCTTGGATGTGCATATTTTCCAGAGCAAAAATGAATGCGCAATATTGCATGCTCGCTGTTTGTTGCCCCTGTTATGCGTTTTATAGTACGAAGCCCCCACAAATAATGAAGAGCGCTACAACAATGATATGCACCAGAGCAGCCATGAGAAAGCTGTGGAAGAAAAGGTCATGGAAGAACCCATGCAGCCGGTTGTGCAGGTATGACATCTTAGCCTGACGTACCTAACTGACAATTTTAATGCAAATGTAGAATATTACAAAAAGAACGTAGATTATTATTACACAAATACACCAAGTATAGATGCTGTCTTAGATCCATGTCGACGGTTCTACCACAGCCTGCTTGAATATTTTACTCCATCATGAGTTTGAAGAATATGACGGCGCCGTAAGGCGACTGGAAGAGATTATTTAGGGAAGTTAATACACCTAGTTCTGATGTATTGAAATACTTGGTGGCAGGATATCGCCGCAGAGAATGCCGAGGACCAGGACGGTGATGCACCAGCGTCCAGTGAGACCATGGCGAAGGAACAGGTCACAGAAGAACCAGGTCAAATAGAGACACCTGCTGTACAGGTATGGAAGCCAAACTGACGTTATTCATGAAATTCATCACGCATAAATGCGGACAGGTACAACATAAAAGGTTCTAGTACGTCGATGAAGGTATATATCATAGTTAACGCCGTTCCTTATCAATTAAAGAAAGCTAGGGTGAATTACATCGTTTCTGTTTTGTTACCTTTAGGATACAGCAAATGAGGAAGAGGGTCTGTCCAGCGACAAAACGAAGGAGGACAAGGCAACTAACGTAGTTGAAATCAACCAGGTACGGTCACCAAATGAATTCAAATCTTCCTAAGAATGTGTTAACATCATTTCAACATGATGCCACTTACTGCGTGTCATTATTTGTTTCCCTGTGACTAAAAGTATGATTTCCATATTTCAGGAAGTACACCAGCACGACTGGATGGCTGCCGTGTCCGAATCTGAACGTGAAGGCTGGCTCACCACCTGCAGCATGTGTGGGACCAAGGATGACGTCATTGTCGTCCCAACGATGACGATGACGTCAGATGGCCTGATGACGTACGACGTCGAATCAGCCGATGGTGACGTCACGCATGTCGTCTGCAAACCCAAGCCGTACTCGGATGAAGAAACATACGCGAAGTTGGACGCACACGCCGTAAACGTGAGTTCTGTCACCACAGCATAGCGCCTAGCCCCGCCTAGCAATTAACAGTTTACTATAAGGAAAATATCCCTAGAAGATTCGATCAAAAAGGCAAAACTTATTGCTCAACAATATGTGACAAACACTGGTGGTTATTATCCTTTCGAACAGGCTGATCGGTCCCTGAACAGTGACTTCACAGAATTGGTGACATACCTGCTGCAACCTGCCAGGACCGACCTAGAGAAGGCACGAGTCCTGTTCCGCTGGGGCACGGCACAGGACCTGGTAAACATGCAGTTTCCCGGTGAGACATTCCCTTTACTCGGTAAAAGGCCTTGTGCAGTCAAATGTAAAGCGTCTCCTTCTTCTTAAGCCTTCGCTTCTACACTGGGGCACATTCCATTAATGAATGTTCTCCATCTGCCTCTGCCTCTTCTCTTTCTACCCTCCTGTTTCCTAGTCTTTATCAATCCTTCACCTCCAGTTGCTCCGTTGTTCTTTTTTGTGCCACTGACACGTTGACACCAGGTTTTATTTAACCTTGAGCAGGTACAGTAGAGAAGGAAACGCCGGATTGGTACCTGCGTGAAATCAAAGACGAAAGAGAGTCACACGTCACACTTCTGGCTAAAATGTGCAGGTGTGTATGCTACGCGACTTCACCTTCTATTCGAGATGCGATGTTTTGCACCCGACATTTTTGTCATAGCAGTGCAGCTAGTGCTGTGTTTCCCATCTTATTTCAATCAATGTCGGATACTCAAACATAATGTATTATTTTCTTGATTACTATAGTCTGGCTGGACTTCACCACAGGATCGTTCGAGGCAATGCAAAATCGGTAAAATTTTACCCCGGGTCGAAGTTAGGAGAGTCTAACTTCAGGGGAAGCTGGCCACAGGTCCTGCTAGACGGGCGCTGGGGAATCATGGACACTGCTTGGGGATCGCACCACGTCATAGACGACCTGGACAAGACTGCAAAGGACTTGGAGACGGTGTATGCATTCGACGAGTTTCATTTCCTACCCAACCCACGACACTACCTAAGTGCGCATCACCCAGACGACGACACATACCAATTTCTTCCTAATCCAGCTCCTCTCGCCGACTTTGAACCACATGTCCAGTGCTGGCCACACTTCTTTGTTCATCACCTGAAACTGCTGAGTCATCATCACGGACTGGTTCCTACCGAGAATGGCAAGGCGATGATTTACATCGGCTTCAAACCAGAAGACTACAGTACCATCAAGTTTTCGTCGCACTTACAGACCATGGATCGGCAGTCCACTTGGAAGAACATCAAGCTTGACAGATTCATTCAGCAAGACAGAAAGAAAGACGCAGTACTCTTTACAGTCAAGCCTCCTGAGAATGGCAGATTTCTGTTTGATATCTTCGTCGGCATGGAAGGAGACAGAAGCATGAAGTGTGCTTGCAAATACGCGATAGACTGTGAACAAGCCATACCAGAAAGTGAAAACGCGCCACTTCCAGAGTGGCAAGGTACATGGGGACCAGGCAACACCGTTCTAAACAAAGGCCTCATACCTATGTCGCATCCATCTCCACGTGTCGAGTGCCAGGAGGGTCGAGCGGCCATCCAGTTCAGTTTGCCTGAACAATTTGAGTTCGTCACAAACCTGTTTGAAACAACAACCGAAGAGAAACACCTGAACCGGTACGTCGCCCACGAGGTCGTAGATGGAGTGGCCACCTTCAACGTCATCAATCCGTCAAAAGGCAACTTGGGGTTGACGATATACGCAAAGGGGCAAGAAGAAGAAGGGACGACGTTCCCGCATCTGTGCACCTATCTGGCGTCGACAGACAGCCCCAGTGGCGAGGTCCCCTTCCCAAGTGTTGCTAATGGCAGGTTTGGACCTTCTCTCCCTCACTTTTCGGAGATGGGGATGTCCACAAAGAGCCACGCCAGTGCGTTCATCGATTGTGACGACAATGAGCTACACATTAGTCTGGGCACCAACAGAGTTCTCAGTGTATCACAGCACCTGACATGGGAGACCCTTGAGGAAGAAATCAACATGGACAACTACTGCTACAGTGAGGTCCGAGATGGCGAGGTGTATTTCTGGCTCCGTCTTCCAAGGTTGGGCAAATACAAACTGGCCGTGTATGCCGAAGAGAGTGATCACAAGGGAACCCTGCGAAACGTCTACAACTACTGTATCAACTGCACGGGGATAAGGGAAGACGTGAAGCCATTTCCACCAGTTAATGGAAAACAATGGGGACAGTTTTCCAGGTGTGCAAAGCTCGGCTTAACCCCAACAAGTCACCCGTCAGGCTTCATCGAGGCAGAGGAAGAACTTCAGATTGTACTTGATTCAGCAAAGTCGCTAGAGTTTTTTCATGAATTGAAGTTTTGGTCATCAGGAGAGACGAAAGAGGAAGCCATGAACGACTTCTGCTGTCACAAGGTACTTAACGAAGGGAAGATGACGGTAGTGCTAGTACGGTTCCCTCACGAAGGACCTTACATCCTTCAGCTGTACGCAAAGGAAACGGGGGAAGACGGCGTTTATGGCAGTGTGATAAACTACTTGATTTCTTGCAAGAAGTCGGCAACAGGCTGCGTGGGATTTCCAGACGTGTGGAACAAACGATGGGGACCGCTGTACCCCCACTTCTCAGCTATGGGTTTGAGCCTTGCAAGTCACACAGATCCAATGATCCACTCAAGAACTGGAGCTCTACAGATTTCTCTTAACAGGTCCAAACCACTTCAGTTCCTGGGCCGACTGTACCATTGTGAGAACGGCCAGCAGACCGGTCTCCAAAACAATGTCTTCATCCGAGACGACCTTGGCGAAGAGGGGAGGATGACGGCTAGGGTGCTCATGCCACACACCGGTGACTACAAACTGCAGACATCTGTCAAAGAGGCAGGGGGCAATAATTCATACACAACGGTAATCAACTTTCTCATACACTGCTCGAGCGCAGTGCATGGCTCCCTCGAGTTTCCTGAGTCGTTTTCGAATTGGGGACCGGGCTATCACGTCTATGAACCACAGAGGAGGGCTCTACCAGTTGGCAAGGAAACGCATTTCAAAGTCGCCCTCCCGGATGCTGTTGATGTTGCTACAATATCGCCAGACGGCAAATGGTCACACCTGACGAAACAAGAGGATGGCACGTGGGAAGGTGACGTAACTATCCCTGGGGAAGACTTGATGGGAAAAGTTATCAAACTGTCTGCGAAGATCAACGATGGGAAAGACACCTACTGGACGATTTTGCAGTACGTAGTAGGTAAGCAAAATTATTCTCCAAATTTACAAACTGACCTTGAATCACATTCTAAAATGTAACAAAATCAAGTACACTGTATTGTTTCATTCAGTGCTTTACAGAATTCTATTGTACAAGATTGCTTCACATCATCTAATAAGACAGTTCTTCGGTTTTCGTCGTTCACAGGGGAGGATTCTTCTCCAGTGCCTATCATATGGGAAGGCGATGAGGTTGGAGATGTACAAGATGGCTCTAAAGAAAAAGAGCAGCCAAAGTCTCCAACAGACGGAGAACAAGATGGCTCCAAAGAAGAGGAGCAGCCCAAGTCTCCAATAGACGGAGAACAAGATGGCTCAAAAGAAGAAGAGCAGCCAAAGCCTCCACATAATGGAGAAGACGAGCCTCAAGATGAAAATGATAAACCAAGAGATGAAGAGGACACGAAGCCTACAACTGAAGAGGAAGAAAATGAGTCAAGAAAAGAAGAAGATTCAAAGCCTTCAAATGATGAAGGACAACACGACTCAAGAGATGAAGAGAAGGTCAAGAATCTACCTGATGGAGAACAAGATGAATCAACAGACGAAGGAGAGCCTCCAACTGATGAAGAAGATGACTCAACAGGTGATGAGGGTGATTCAGAAAATGAAGATGAGCTACACCAGCCAATCAATGGGCAAGAAGAAGACTACAAAGTCATCTTAAGGCAACACCAGGCTACAATCGAGGAGACAATGGATCCAATGATGGTCATACCGAGGCTTGAACAGGAGGGATTCGTCGATGATGAAGAGGCAAAAGAGTTGCTGCTGATGGTGCCTGAAAACCTTCCGGAAGTGAACAGGAACGTCCTGGCGGTAAGTGATGTTTCCTCTTCCATGTTCTAGATTGTTTCATCAGTATTACGCAGAAAAGCTGATCTTTTCTGCGTAATACCGTCTTCATCTTACTTTGCTGTTATGTAGGTGGTTCGGAGAGAGGGCGAAGATGCTTTCGTCATACTTCGTGACGTCATGAAAGAAACGGGACAGGACCAAATCACTGAAGTCATCGAGGATGTGGTGATCGTGGTGCCCGACAATGCGGGTGAGTAACATCGTGCAGCTACTGGTACAGCAAGTTCCATGTGACTTATTGGTTAGGATTTGATACCCTGTGCGGGAAAGTGTTTATTTTCCCCATAATTATTATAGATTCAGCAATTTTGTGTGCCTTATGCATGTCTGATGTTTGTTATGGTCTCGTGTTTCAGTTGACAAACTGCGAAAGAAACTTGCCGATGCGACGCTCGCGAAGAACAAGGGAAGGCTGGAGCAGATCATGGCGGAGTGCCGCGAACAGGGGATGGAGGAGGAAGACGTCTTTAGAGAGGCACAGAGGACTCTGAACTTAATCGAGGCTCGACAAGGTAAAATATGAGTTTGCTTAGAAATAGGACTGTACATGTTGGATGAGACAACAACTCCTTTCCATACATTTTTTATGTGGGAAAGGTTTAGATAGGATTTATTCAATTTTGTGTCATATCCGGATATCCGATTGGAGATACGAAAATTGTGATGACTTTTGACTAATTACTGAATGTCTATAGATGACGGTGTGAATATGTACCATTGATTGTACCATTGTTTGACATGCTAGGTCTCACAAAGGCCATCAAAACACGACACAGAGACCAGCTCCAAGCTGCACTCAAAGCCGCCCAACCGTTTAGAAAAGAGCTCCGAAAGCACACCAAAGAAGCAAAAGAAATCCTTAACAAAATAAAACGGTTGGAGAATCTACGTCACGAAATCATGGACATGAACCAGGCGACCATCGCGGAGATCAAGACGTACAACAACCCTCCTCCCGCCGTCTACAAGGTCATGATGGCCACGTTCCTGCTGCTGGGCAACACCATGGCACAGGTCAACGTAAGTAAACTGACAGTTTACATGTTTGACAAAAACACTCAAACACACTCTTAAGGTGACGATACATACATGTGCACAATTACAGGGGCATGTGAATCACTGATGACTTAGATATCAAAATAACAATAACCCATTGTACTGCCAATAGTAGAAACCGCATTACACTTGGGGAGGGGGGTTATATACTTACAATATGTAAATGATTAATTTCTTTGTCGATCTCATACTCAACTTCACAAACTTTGCTTGATTTTGTACTCTTGATGATGCAGACTGCCAGGTAGAACACTTTCGCTGGTAATACCTAACAATTTAAACACTTTTCACTACCTTCCAACAGGACTGGATGTCGCTACTAGTTCTCATCGGTAAGACGGGAAAACAGAGCCTGAAGCGGCGGGTGAAGAACTGCGAGCCGGCGAACATCTCACCGGAGACCGCTGCCGAGGCAAAGCTCTGTCTGGGAGACCTTAGTCTGGACGGGGTCCGGGACCAAAGTTCGGGAGCAGCCACCTTCTATGTCTGGGTAAGCATACACTTCAAACCAGTCCGTCACATAGGAGCATTCCTGTCCTTGGTGCTGAACACGGTCCACGTGAAAACGCGCACACTGTGCTACGCGTATACGTCCTCTCTCTTGTCTAAAACTGTATGACAATGTCCTAAATGTAGTTATACCATCCGTCTAGTTGGATATACAATTTATTTACTGAATCCAATACCCATGTTTTGCTTGACAGTCAGTGGGGACCATCAGCGAAGTGGAAGAGATGGCCCTGAACAAGCAGGACACAAAAAGCACCCGATGATCTCCATACGATACAGAAGCAATGATGTAGACTTCCTCTTTGCTGTGTGTGTGTAGGAAGTGCACTAAATAATGTAGCCATGAAAGCTTATCACAGATGTCTGCTCAAACGTTAATTTTTGTAGGTCTGCAAGAAATTTTGTGTTACTGTGTACCCTTGCAAAATTACTGAACCTCAACTTGGGTAAGTTTGTGTATATCAATCATTATGAAGTAAGTTTAAACTGTAATTTCCAACACAACAAAAATTGGACTCACCCAAATTTTGACATTTTATATCAATCATTGTCATACCACAAGCAGGTAGTATAGTTTTGCTCTCACACTAAATATATGTGTGTACCACTGTTGAGTAATCAAATAATTGAAAAATGTGCTTGTTTGTAATTACTATATCTTGATTAAGTAAATGGATAATGCCCAGTTGATTACTGTGTCACTTGATGTTATGTGCCATGGTACATACTAGAAGTGTTTAGCTTCTAAGCTTTAATGTCCCTATAAACATTCTTGATATACTGATTGTTTTGTAAGAGGCTCAATGTAGCTACAGTTCTGACTTCTGTAATTTGACATAGGTTTAACATTAACTGGTACCAATTAGGCACTTGTTGAGTGTTGCCATGTTGTCACATGCCACATTTCCTTTGAATCTCATGGTACTTAAAGAGATATCTGTATATATTGCATTAAATAGGGCATATGATTTTATGAATTTCATTTTTGTAAATATTGTGATTGACATGGATGTTTGATAACCACAGTATTAGAATTCAAATCACCAGTATGTAAATGGCTAACGTGCAAAATTCTTGGTAATTGCACCCTTTTAAGTTTCACATCCATAGCAATAATTAGAAGTACTTATAATTATGCATGTTGACATGGATAATGTGGGAAAATGACCAATATCTGTATGGAGAAGGGGAAATGAGACAAAGGGTGTGGGATTTCAGAACCAAGGACAGTGTCCACAGCACACTTGGTGATTACCATAACTTGTTCCTCAGCCAAGTCAAGTAGCAGTTGACATGTTGGAAACTCTACCAAATCCATGCTAAGTGGAAACATGACTGTAAATTACTTTGCCAGTAAGTATAGTAAATTTTCTTTGTCAGTACTCAGTAGCAATCAACATCCGAGATGAATGGGGAGACAACCTGTACAAGAGAGTTATATCATGTTTGTCTCCCCCTCCATTGTACATGTACTCAATGGTAAAATAAACAAATAAACAATAACAACATGAGTGATGACAAAATACACAGGTATCTGTTCTGAAGATGACAACATTTCAATAAAAAAGGGTACGTACCTGTTAGTGTTGTATCGTGTACATACCTGCATGAAACAGTTCCATGGTTCCCCTTTTGCGTTTGTGTGAATGACAGGGCAGGTTGACTTTTCTTCCAGGCAGTGGGCATGATCAAAGGAGTTGAGCGGGAAGCACCTCCCTTAAAGAGCGAAGTCTCTGTGACCTGAAGACTAGAAGTTGAACTGTTCTTGTATACGTACCTTGTATATTATGTTTCTGAATGGTTCTTGGCAAGTGAGGCTTGTGTATGAAATGCTTTGCTATTGCTGTGAATGAAAAATATTGAAGTAAGTTAGAATGGGGTGCAAATTAAACTTCACTTGGATGATTTTCATAGCATCATAACATGGAGTGGGTTTGTTTAAAGTTAAAACTTTTGATCCCACACAGAAAGTTCTCTCACCTAGAGCTTTCAACCAGTCACTCTGGTCTTCCTCAGTAGACTGACCCAGTGAGGCTTGTCAAGCATCAACACTGGGTCAAAGGTATCTGGTAGACGATGTCGGCCCCCGTCGCGGTTCAGTGAGGGGTGATGGGTCCTGATGTCAATAGCCTCTTTCACCCCTCCTCCCGCCGCGCCGTGACCCCAAACATCCCATTATTAAGTACTTCACTGTCCAGATTAGAAAAAAAAGACAGTTAATCATCATCCTACCTGCAACCTTGACTTAACAAGACGACCTCATGCATGCGAGTTGTAGCAAGTTTATGGAGGAGGGTGGTGGTGTCCCACTTTACTGCTCTATACTCTATGAGAGCTGACAGTTGAACTTGAAGCCCCCCACCCCACCCTCACACTCTGGTGTACCTGCAGAAAATAGGCAAGCTTCCGATGACAACAGACTTAACCTTTCATATCACATATGCACACGCACATGTACTACTCAATGTTACACAGTAACCTCCAATGTTACACGGTAACCTCCGATAATAAGGCTTATTCACATAAGATGAGTGAAGGTCAAATTATGCCGTGACTAGAATTTCGCGCGAAAAATCGAGCGGACCAATCAGGAGTGGCGAGGCGGGAGATGTTTGGGGTCACGGCGGGAGGAGGTCACGAGGATTTCCAGCTGGCTCACGTGTCGGGCAGGACGACTCTCTTCTGCTCGGCGACTTAGTCCCCGCCTTATCTGCAAAATACACAACGAACAAGCTTCTTACAATTAAGGTAAGTCGGCGCAGCCTTAAACTACTCGTTTTCAGCCCATGTTAAGGCTAGAAAATGTGAAATAACGTTCGGTTTTACCTGCAAGGGAAGAGATTTTTGATTGGCAACATGGCGGCCGGATATCAGTAAGCCTGACTCTGCTTCTTTTGGTTCTTGGAAATCGTGATTCAGATTTACGATCTGCCACTTCGATTATGGAATGGTGGTAGTCTTGACCGCACTGTGAATTATTTAGTAGTGGTTAGAAGAGCCAGTCTGTTGTACAAAACGAGCGCAAAGGGGTCAATTTTTGATGTCGAAATGAAGCCCTCAACTACCATTCGCATTCTTAAGTCTTTTGGCTTCGGTCCAAAACTCTTACACGTGATTTAGATCAACACGATGACCATAAATCGTTTGTAAATGTCTTGTTAGGAAAGAGCGAGAGGACAGTTCAGAAATTGTGATATGAACAGCACTTACAGATGGAAGTTAATACCGACAGGTACCCTACTTGTACTTTGTGTGCGATATGGCTGTCTTATTTGACCACCTGTACAAGCAGAACAATAGAAAGAGAAGTAGGGCAGTTTTCTCTGCCCTCCCCACTATGTGTGTCAACAGGCTGGTTCCTCTTCTGCTTCTGAAATTTTGTATAAATTTTGTTAATTTTTTTAAGCTTATTTATTATGTGTGCTTCAGGTCTAGTGAGTAACGTTAACTTCAGGACCTGGAGATTGAATCCTGACCATTGTTGCAAGTCTGTATCTGTATCTGTATGGCTGGTATAACCACCTTTCGGTGTAACACACCATTGAGTCTAGCCTGGATGCCAGACCCAAAGCACACTGGACACAAAATATCTCAGTGTGCTCACTGAG